AATTTGTTTTTACTAAAGGATTAAATGTGGGTTAGGGTTTTAGAGTATCCTATATAAAGAAAAGTTGTGCTAAGGTTGTCTCATGCATATCATAAATTCACACTTTTGTACTCTGAAGAGTTTGGAGAACTAGAGGCAACTAGAGACAACCTTAGAGATCTGCACCCATTGAGGTAATGAAGAGTGAGAAACCTCACTCTAGGGTGCGAGTTATCTATAGGGTAGCAAGATTGACCCTCAATCTTGTGTAGCGCTCCTTGTTGCAAATTCACTAGGCGTGGGAGGGTTGCAACAGGCACGATCCTTTCGTAGAGTGAAGTGTGCTATCTTCCTAGATCGCCTTAGGCATAGGGGGTGCCCCACATCAAGCGTCACCTTATTCCTACATATTTGTTTCATTGTAATTGTATTATAATCTATTGAAAAAGAATATGACAATTGAATGAATGTATTGAATAATATTACTTGTATGAATCCAATGGTGAGATTTATCTGTTGATTATGTTATGGAACATGTGATGTATTGCATGTGGATTAAGTGATGGTCATATGATGTGACATTTAAGTTTAACTTACTTGTATGAAAGTCTGAGCAAGATTGCCTAGCTAGTTGTACTTGTTGCATTGTTTTAATTGAGTATATGAGAAAATTAATGAGTATGTTATGATGAATGTATAAAGTATGAATATGTATAAACTATTGTATGACATGCATTATTAGGTCAACAGAAGATCTTGAATCCCTCAAGCTTCCAAGTTTTAATGATAACAAGTAGAACATTTTTCTAAAAGAAAAATATTTTTGCAAAATACAAAGCAAATGAAACATAAGACACAAACTTTTAGACAAACAATATGTCATCAGACAAAGCATACAATCTTATTTTATAAAGTCTTAAATGCATATCATTTATAATGAGTAATGACTATTTTGTGCATGACTGACTGATTTCTTAACAGGTCGAACAAAGAAAGCTCATTGGAACTCACAAATCTATTAAAGTGAATGAAGTCATGTTCTGCACAAGAAACAAGGATAGGTGAATCCCTAAAATTACGGAGAAAGTTAGAAAAAGTTAATGGTGAACCTACTCTTTGTTGACACATGCCACAAAAAGTCCATTTGGTATCCTAAATCTAATAAGTAGCCTCCTTGATCATATAAGAAGTGATCATTTGGTAAAATGAAATTAATGCAAGCATTTAATGCTTCAACAGACACTTGTTATCTCATCTCAAGGGACTTGTGTTGAGGAAAGACAAAGCAAGTTTGTGAGGAACCTTTAAGTTTTTACGGCGGTTATCTTCATCCGAGCTACTATATAAGGAACTTCAAAATCAGAAAGAAGAAGATTTTATAAAGATGAACTCCTTGTACAAATTATCATTCATTCTTTCTATAAATTTATTGTTCTTAATTGGTTGTATCACATCTTGATTGTAAGATGAAGCAGCATCTATAATATTTTACCCATATATAACTGTTGTCATAAGGTTGAGCCTAGAGAGACTTGTTTTTTAAAAGAATACTCATTTTGAGCCTAAAGAGGTTTGTTAGTAAAAGTATTCTTGTTTGAGCCTGAAGAAGGTTATTTTTAAAATAAAACTCGTTTAATCCTGGAGAGGCTTGATTATAAAAGAATACTTGGTGTGGAAACTTGGAGAGACTTTATGTTAAAAGAATACTTGAGTAGATTGCTTGAAGAGACAATTCAAAGAACACTTAGATTTGAGCCAGAAGTGGTTTGTTGAAAAAATATTTGTATCTTTTTTAAGATAGTAGAACTGAATCTAGTTTGATTGAGAATTAGATATAGTCTTGGTAGTTGAAACAAACTAGTATAAAAATTACCGTGTGTTTCCTCTACCCCTTTTCGTGCATTATTTATTGTTAGTGTTACTACTTTACTATTTGAAAAAAAAAATGAGTTTTTGATAGACAGTATACAATCCTCTTTCTAGTGTTTGTCTTTTCTCCATATGCATCATGTGCATCAATAGTTTTGTGATGCATAGAATGTGAAATATGTCATCTCAAGAGAGGTCCCCTTTCTGTAAAGGTTTCGAGATTCATGACCTTAAGGATAGCCAGGTTTGGGAGCCCCAATTTCGTCCATTATGTGCATGGAGTGTAACTTGGCTAGCATCGTTATACCAATGCGCCCTAGTGTATATCCTCCTAGTATAGAGTGTTGTGATGATTTAATCTAACATGTTCTCCTAGACTACTCTTATTTGACCTTCAGACAACAATTGAAATCGTTTTACTGGTGCCACATGCATATAGTTAGATTGTATGTGTCAATTGCATTGTCATAAACATAACAATTGTATTTTGAATATATGTGAATCGTGAATATGTGATTTATGCCAAAATGAGTAAGTATTGGAAGATGTATTTGATTATTATTAATCTTAAATGAAAATGCATATTTGTTACTTGTTGTGTGTGGCTATCCAGTCATAGCCTACACCGGTAGTCAAAATAGGATATTTCTCACTCCCCTCTTCTTTTAGGGTTGTTTTGTTGTATGGTTGCATGCAAAACTTATTATGAGAATGATGAGACCAAAGATAAGGTTTAGGCCTTATATTAGGTATGCTCTAATAGGATGTGACATCGAGGAATTGGTTGGAAGTTTATATTTTATGTTGGTTATTTTAAGTCATGCCTTTGCTTTAGACTTGATAATGTATTTTCTTTTGCTAGACATTTATTTGGTTATTCCTTTGGTTTTGTTGAAATGTGATACCTCTATCCGAGAGAATTTGAAAATTATGTTATTTATTAAAGTTATATCTTGAAATTATTCCTTATATTCCAATAGTTATAATTCTATGATAGCATGTATGGTAGAGGATGTTACACCTTTTAGACTAAAATGCTCCTAGATATAGATATTACATCGCCCTCCCTTCTTATGTTAAAACAAATTTTTTCCTCCCTTAACAATTTTTAATTAATATATATTTTACACTTTAACAATTTATCTCTTGATTTATATATTTAATTATTATTTTAAAATTTATTATAAATTTTGCAAAAATTAAGTATATATCTTTAAAAAAATATTATTATTATTATTAGTTTTACAGAATATTTTTAAAGTTATATATCAATAAATAAAAGGATATATATAAGTATAATAAAATTAAATATAATTATTAAGATAATATTTAGTAGTTAATGTAATATTTTATAAACATTTAAAAAATAATATTTTTATAATAATTATTAATTGTACATATCAAAGGTAATTAATATATAAGTATTAAGGTATTATTTGTTATATTTAAATAATATAACGTTAAAATATGTATATTAAATATATACATTTTTTTAATAAATACATTAATTATATATTTACAATTTTTTAAGTTTAATTAATTTAAATTTAAATATACATTATAATTTTTTTAATTAAGTGAATGAATGACAATGAATTAAAAATATTTTAAAATATATTTTAATTAAAAGTACATATCTTTGATAAATAATTAAATTAAAAATATATTTTGAAATCTTATAATGAGTACTATTTGACGATATTAAATTAACAAGAGAGTGATAGTAAAATACTTATATCTTTAAGGAATAATAAAAATGTAATTTATTTGATATTTATAAATAGGTGATGGATAGTATAATATTTACATCTTTCATGAAAAAAAAATGTAATTTACATTAACAACGTTAATTACATATATCAAATTATACATTTTAACATAAGAGAATAGTGTAATATCTTTATCTCTTAAGACAGAATAACATAATTTACTCTAAAATTTTTGCATGAATATGTTTCTTTTCCTTTCTTCTTTTTGGAAGATGTTGTTCGGGCGCAAACATTTTTTTTTCATTAAAATATCTCCAACGGATAACTAATATCTTCCAAAGTATAGAAATTATGAAATTAGGTTTTGTCTCAATGAAATTTTTCCTATACATATAATCAAATAATCGAGCTCTTATCATATTTTTTCTATACATATAATCAAATAGTCGAACTCTTGTGATCAACGTGTTTATAGTCTGTGTTAGACTTTATTGGCAGAGCAAAAATTTATGGTTGAAGGACAATTGTCATATTGAGGCACCTCCCTTTCGGTTTGGGGAGTGTTGGGTCATCGATGGATTGGTCCACTTTTTGCAGATTATATTAATAAATAAGGAACAAATCCATACATAGAGAATAATGTAATGTATCATTGTCCTATAAAAGTCATAGTTGACCTACTCGATGTTCCATTTTGTTGTTGAGACTGAGAAGGGACGTCGAAGGGTGGTGTCCCATTGGTTGGCCTGGCCTGGCCCAACCCAGTTAGTCCAATCGTCAAAAGGATTGCGTGGGGACAAAAATGTGATAGTCTACCAATCTCATGGTCGTGCAAAATATGCCCTCAATTAATAATAAACATATTTTATATATCACTTTAATACTATGAAGCCACACTGTGAGGACGGTCTCTTGAATAAAGAAAAAAAAAACATGTATTCAATCTTTATCGTATGTATAAATTGATTGAATAGATAATAGTCACATTATTAGAAATAAAATTAATGTGTGAGATAGAGTTCTCGAATTACCTATGTGTGACATGAAAAAAAAAAAGGTATATTGTGAATATTATTTATATGCAATTAGTGGAGTTAAGTTTAACATATTGTGAACAAGCAACTCTTTGGTCTTTATTTGCATTTGTAGGAATCAAAATTGACAGGGCAACCGATTAGGTGTTGGTGAGCTTGCTCAACAGCTCTTCACATTTTTTCCAATTTTATATTTCTTTGCCTAATGTATTATTGAGATTGCTGTTTTACTACTCTATCCCTCCATCGCGTCTGGTTCTTAAATGATTAAGGGACAACAAGAGAAACGTGTTGTGATATTTTTGTCATTTTGGAATTTTGTCTTGAAATATTCATAGGTGTCAACTAATTAAACCTGAAATATAAGCAAAGCGATTTTGCTTTCACCTCTAATTCATCCAAAGGACAAGTGGAGCTACATAAATGGTCTGTCTTGCTTTGAGAATTACTCATAATTTTCCAACAACTCCTTCCAAATCCTTGCTCTTCAAACTAATCATCATATTTAACCACAACTTCATCTAAGTTTCCTAGTGGGGTATTCATTTACATAAATAGTCCAGGTCCCCTCCATTTGAGGCACTGTTGCAACGTTATTGCTCAGGGGATGGAAGTTTTGAGTCTTCAAAAGTTGGTGAAGACAGCACCCTCTAAAGCATTGGTTATCAGAATCAATTTGGTATGTCTTGCAATCTTTCTGGTTGTTTATGCAACCCTTCTTCTCCGTCCATCTTCTTCAGTGTATTTCGAGAATGCAGCTTCCCTTGTTAGGTGCTCCTTGCGCGAGTGCCATCACAAGGTAAGGTGAGCCTACTCTAATGGTATTACTTTCTTCCCCCAACTTCTATTTGTGTGCTCTGCTTATGCTATAACTAGTATATGTTGATGTTGATGAATGATAACAATACATTTTCTAACGCATTTCTTCTAGTACACTCACTGTCTTATCCTGTAATCATACTTTTTGTCAAAATCATAGCACATTGAAAAAAAAACAAAAACATTGAATGCAAACTTACAAAAATCATAAAAGAAATTGATTTGCATGAAAAATCCACAAGAACATAATATTGCAAGTTTAAATTATATTGTATAAGTATTAACTTTCCTATACATAATGAGAATATAAAAGTCACAAATAAATGATTTAAAGAGTGTAGAAAAAAAATAGTATAAATGATAATTTATTAATGAAAGAATTTATGTAAGAAAAGTATTATTAATGTTTAAAATTTGTTATAAGTAATTATGTTATATTATAAAAAGTAAACACTTATTGACTATAAAAAAATTCCAAAAATAATAATAATAAATGACTAAAGATTAATTTTAATTAAAGTATTGTTCTATATTTATTTAATGACTTATATTTATTAACAATTGATATATAACTGTAAAATATAATTTCAAAGTATTGTAAAAATCTTTAAAATTAAAATACAATTCCCACTTAAAATCAATTTGAATGAAAAAAAAAATTATCCCTCACTAATTAATTTAGTTATTTCATTAGTTAAGAGCTTATATTAATGAGAATATATATATATATATATATATATATATAATATGATT